CCCCGTACCCGTCGCCCCGTACCCGGCCGATCCTTTGACGTGGGTTCTAGGCGTTGCCGAGGGAACGGTGTTTACGCAGGAGCGCGGGGCGGGACGCCGACCAAGCACCCTCCGAAGAGCCGGCCCACAACATCACTCCTCCACGAGGTTACCCGGCCAGGGAGTCTGGGCTTCAGCGGGGGCCAGGTTGACCCCCACCCCCAAGGGACTTCATTTATACGAGGGCCAGGTGAAGCGGGACGGGCCCTCATATAAATGGCCAAATTCAACAAGGGTTCACTCTTGAACTCTCTTGTCGGATACAAGTGTCCTACAGGAAGGCCTTTGCCGGGGACACTGCTTCCTGTTGATGTTTTTGGCACATGCAAGTAAGGGACCTAGAACCTAAGGTGAAAAACGGTCCAGATCTGGAGATCTTAAGCCTCGGGGGCCGAATAATGTGAACCAGGGTGTTCTCAAACTTGAACATGCAACAGAATCACCTAGAGGGCTCATTAAAACACAAGTGACCGGACCCAACCCCGGTTTCAGATTCAGTAGGTGTGGGGTCCGGTCCCAGAATTTGCATTTCCAACAAGTTAATAGGTAGTGATGATGTTGCTGGTTTGAGGAACACACTTTGAGAACCACTGAGGTGGTGAGCTTATTAAAACGCATGTTTATGGATGACTCCCAGAATTATTGAGGATGGGCCTGTGAATCTACACGCCACAGGTAATTCTGATATAGGTGCTGTGAGGAGCTAGAATATGGATCTCGGGAGACAGCAGGCCATCTTGTTTTCAAGGGCGCAGACCTCGGGACCATAAGTGGTTCACACGTGTGTGGCAGCGTTGGGTGGAGAGTGGAGACCAATGAGTTCCTTGCCCTCTTGGCGGCCTTCCTCAGTTCTCTGGAATGTGGTGTGTAGGAAGTGCTACCAGCCAGGGAGTCACCGCTGTCGCAGCTCCAGGTTTGTGGCTGGGAGATGGAGAACTGAAAGGTCCTGCCTGCCCAGGGAAGCTGCATCTCAAGTTTCTGGGCATGGCCTCTAATGGGGGAAAATGTGATAAACCCTTAGGTTCTCTAAAACCATGGTTTGCAAAGTGTGGACCCTAGACCCGCTGCATTAGCCCCACCTGGGACCTTGTCAGAAATGCAGATTCCCAGGCTCTGCCCCCAGTATACTGAATCTGAACTCTGGAGGTGGGGCCCGGCCATATGCCCCGCGAGTGATTCTGACCCACAGTTGAGAAACACTGCTCTAAAGAATGACCAGTGCACTTGCAGATCTTGGAATCAATGATATTAGTGCTTCGGATGCTTATTTCAATGAGGAAAAATATTTTACTGGAAATTTACAGTATAAATAGAAGTTTATTTAAGGTGGTAAACAAATGCATCATAGGAATTCATTATAGGATGTTTAACAGTAACTCTCGCCTCTGCCCACAACATGCCAGTAGTGACAATTAAAAATGTCCCTGGGGGGTTGGGGGGGGGGGATGACCACAACTGAGAACCACTGAATTAAAACAAAGCTATATAGTAGTTTATTTAGCAGATCTTCTCTGTGCTAGGTTTTCAGAAACAACAAATAAGGATCTCAGCCCAAAGAACCTTACAGTTTTAGGCAAACCCAAATATGTTACAGTATTGTACGTGTTGTTAAAAAATATAATGAAATTCTATGGAGGTGATTATTCCTAGGGTAGCTGATGAAGACTTCACACGAGCAGTGACATCGGACTCTCCAAAATGAGAAGACAGAGAAGGGCCTTTGAAATTCATGTGTTAAGTCTGGAGATAAGTGCGTAAGTTACTTGACTCTTGGGTACTGGTGACTGAGGGTAGGGAGTGGAGAGAGAAATGATAAAATGATAAATGATAAAAGTTGACTGCAACCCTCTTATGAAGGCCTCGCATGCCATGTTATAGAGATTGAACTTCATCAGGGGGAGATGGGGTAACGGCACTCGCCATTGAAGGGTAGGCCAGGGTCAGGTATGTTCAGAAAGACAAGAATGACCTCACACGCTCCTGGTTTTCCTCCTCCCTCGGTTGCCTCAGTGGCCTCTCCCGTTCACCCCCATCATCTGGTCTAAATGCTAGAGTCCATCGGGGCCCAGTCCTCAGCAGCTCTGCACTTCCTCCTCTCACCCACACCCAGAGCTTTGAAAGCCCAATGTTCGTAATCCACATTGAATCTCCAGCCTCCAGCCCTGTATCCAGTTATTTGGCAGCTCCCCTTGATGTGCCAAATCACCTCAAACTCCGCGTGACCCAAGTGGACTTCATGGTCTTCCTCCCACTTTTCCTAAAATCCCTCGGTCCTCTCCATTCTGTGTCTCAGAAAATGGCACTACCTCCCATGTAGCTTATAAACCGAAAATTTAGGATTCTAGGCTAATCCCTCTTCCTCACCACCAGCCCATGTACAATTGACCCCCAAGACCTAGGGATTTTACTTGTTAAGTGTCTTTGTTTCCATTCGCTTCCTCCATCACTTCCTCCTCCACCTGAATCTCAGCTTTCGTTCTCTTCTTTGAGCTACCACGGCCACCCACCGGACAGGTCTCCGCACGTCCAGCCTCTACGCTACACTGCAAACCAGATGCCTTTTTAAACAAAATAAATTTGATCATGCCATTCACTTATGTAAACCCCTCTACGGCTTTCTCCTTTTAATTTAGGATAAGGACCCCAATCCTTAATGTTTCCTACGAGGCCCTGCATGAGTTGACATCTGCTCCCTTTCTGGTCTCATTTGGGGCCACTTTCCTTTTTGTCGCTCCAGTCTAGTCACACTGGCCTTTTGCGAGCTTCTTAAGCCTCCCTTCTTAGGTCATCTGCACTTGCTATCCCCTCTGTCTAGAAAGCCCGTTCCCTCGCCTTCCCCCAATGCCCTCGCATCCCCATCTCCCCGCGCATGTTAACCTCATCTCTCGGGAGAAGCCTTCCTTGGCTTGAAGCATATCAGCACTGTCTATAATTATATTGTTGTGATTAATCACTACCTGCCTCTCGCTATAGGCTGTCGGCTTTGTGAAGACTCGAACCTTGTTTGGCGTGTTATTAGATCCCTAACACTTAGCACTTTGGAAAATTGTTAGATACACAAAACCTATTTTTGAGTGACCGTAGGAGAATTTGGCAACCAGGAGACCAGTTAAGAAGAGGCATTGTAAGAAAAGGCATTCTCCCAGGGGAGAAATGAAAAGGGTCTGAATAAAGGCATAGTGGAGAGGGCGAAGAGATTGTAAGGAGGTAGGGTCTTTGGATGTAAACAATACAAACAGAGCATTGTCTCACCTAAGCAAAAAAGGGGTTTATTGAAAGGATAGAGGGAGTTCAAATTATAAAAGGATAATCTGAGGGAAGTCAGGGCAGAGATGGCAGGTAGAGGTGCAGAAACTAATTGAGGGTGATCACTACTGGAATAAGTCCACTTCAGCCGTGTTTCAGACTTTATGTCGTTTCTCTCAAGGTCTCAGGTCCAGGGAGAGAGAGTCTGATGGAGTACCCTCTGCCTGGAAGTCCAAGCAAGGCTACAATGCAGGGGATGGATAGTTTTCCACAGGAAAAGGTGAGTGTTGCTGATAAAGCAAAGGGGAGGGAATGATGCCAGCCGAATCCACTCACATCCACCTCCGGAGCATCAACAGACAGGACAGAATGGCGTGAACAAGGAGCCAAGGATAAATCGCAAGTTCCTGGCTCGATGGATGGTGGTACCATTAATTAAGGTGGAGAACACAGGAGGAGGGGCACATTATAGGGGGCAGAGGAATCTGACTTGTCCATCAGGTAGTGGTATGGCTCTGGACCTGAGGATTTAGAGATTTGGAAGTTGTCAGCCTCTCTTTACAAGAGAGAAAACCACCGGCATGAATGTGATGACTACGGACAGGGTGTTGAGTGAAGAGAGAAAAGAGCCAATGGGTGGAATGCTAGGGAGTAGAAAAAATTAAGAAGCAGGGAAAGGGTGAAAGGCCAGGCAGGTGAGTGAAATATCTAAATGAGGCATACTGGCCAGTTGAGAAGTCAGAAGTCTTGAGCTTGTGGTTTTCGTTTTGATTTGCTTTTCAAAACAAGGTAATCTCAGCTTCTTCTCAGGAAAGCTGCTGTGACCATGAGGTTACTGCTAGGTGGGGAGCTAACAGGCTTCTTTTGTATTTTAGAGCTAAAAGGAGAAGTTGGCAGGTAGGGGAGGCTCAAACTTGTAAAGCCTGGACCCAAATGGGTAATTGAATAGGTCGGTGAAACAGTTTTGTTACTCAGCCACCGTAGCATCAGCCTCACCTGGGAGCTTGCTAGAACTGCCCCACGCCTGCCTAATAAATGAGAATCTGCAACTTAAGATCCCCAGGTAATTCATACCCACCTTGAAGTATGAGAAACATGGTTCTACGGAGGGATGTTATGGAATTTGTGGATTTTAAGAGTTAAAGAGAAGGATGTCCCTATTTTTATGGAGTCTAGAGGACTTGGAGCAAAACTCAGTGCAATTTCATGGTGAAGAGAAGATGGACCTGGGCCCACGCAATTGCAACACCTGGTGGGGCTATGGTTAGGGTTAGGGGTTAGGGTTAGTACTAATGAGGACTGGGTACTAACTTAGTGACCTTGAGAACTTCAGTAAGTGGCTCTGTGGCTGACCCAGCACCAGGGGAATGGAGGTTCTTGCTCTACAATGAACCACACTTGCCTGCCAGGAGCAAGAATGGGTATCCGCCTCGGGTTGCATGAACCCTCGGGTGACTGGTAGACTTAACAGTTAGATCAAGGATAATTTCCAGTGAATAATGAAGTAAAAACCAGATGGCAACAGTCAAATAACAAATGGATGACGAGAAAATGTAACCAATGTGCACAGAATCAGGAATTTAGGAATTTGACTACAAAGATAAGGAAACAGGGGTCATGGCAAGCTAGAGAGGTAAGGCAGACAAAGGATGTTTGTTTCGTTTTGTTTATGATGAGCATATTTAAGTACTTAGAGCTATGAGATCAGTGAGGGAAAGGTGGTTGCTTGAGGGAGGTTCCAAGACCCTTACCAACGGTGGGAAAGGATAATTGTAGGCATATATAGAAGTTAGACTCACTGGGGCTTGTGACTGGTTAGATACATGGAGGTGTGGGAGGGGGCAGTTAATTTCCCTAGTGTCGACTCCAAGAGAGACAGTGAAGTGCAGAAGGGATAAATATTACTTCAAGGGTGAGGCTGTGGCTTGGAATCGAATTTAGGAAGATATAGGCACTATTTTTTAATGTTCAAGAAATATAACATTTTATTAACGTCCTCTATTCCAGAGCAAATTCTGGCTGTATTATCTTAGAAATGGAGGAAGTATAGGAGGGAAATACTCGACTTGGAGTCAGAAGTCCTAGATTCCCAGCCTTTAATGTGGCCTTAGGGGAGTTATTTAACATGTCTGGCTTGTATTTCCCTCATATACAGATCTTCTACTTACAATAGGGTTACATCCCAATAAACCCATCATGAGTGGCAATACCGTAAGTCAAAATGCATTTAATACACCTAACCCACCGAACATCAGAGCTTAGCCTAGCCTAACTGTCACATGCCCAGAACACTTACATTAGCCTGCTGTGTGCCAAATCGCAAAACCTATTCTATAATCAAGTGTTGAATAGATCATGTAGTGTATTGAATGATGTACTGAAAGGGAAAACCAGAATGGCAGTATGGGTACAGAATGTTTGTCAGCGTTCCACTGTTGACCCTCATGACCGCACGGCTGACTCACTGTGGCTGTGGCTCACTTCGGCCACTCAGCGTCACACGAGAGTGTGGTGCCACATATATGGAGCCCAGGAAAAGATGCAAATTCAAAGTCCGGTTTCTTCTGAATGTGTATCATTTTCCCACCATTGTAAACGAAAAATCGCAAGTTGAACTATCGTTGAGGACCATTGGTATATTAATGTGACAGAAACAGTGGTATTCCATGGGTGGGGCAGAGGGAGTGGTCCATCGTGATGCAGTTGATAAGGGAGTGTGCTTTGTCTGTAGAGAATTTTATTTTTTATTTTTTATTTTTTTTAGAAAGAGAGAGGGAGTGGGGCACCTAGGTGGTTCAGTCGGCTACGTGCCCGACTTCAGCTCAGGTCATGATCTCACGGTTTGTGTGCGTCAGGCTCTGTGTTGACAGCTCAGAGCCTGGAGCCTGCTTTGGATTCTGTGTCTCCCTCCTCTGCCCCTCCCCCACTCGCACTCTGTCTCTCTTTCTCAAAAATAAACATTAAAAAATTTGAAACAAAAAGAGAGAGAGCGCGAGGATGAGGAGTAGAGAGAGAGGGGGAGAGAGAATCTTAGGCTTCACATCCAGCATGGAGCCCGATGCAGGGCTCAGTCTCATGACCATGAGATCATGATCTGAGTCAAAATCATGAGTCAGATGCTTAACTGAGCCATCCAGGTGCCCTGAGAATTTTAAAACAATAATAAAATCCACTAAAGTCAGTCTGCTTTTTGTCATCACCAAGTGCTGACAATTTAAACAATGTCAGTGATAAAATACTCCCCACTCTTGGTAGCTATAGGACAATATGCATTTCATGCTGGACTTCATTAGAGGATACGGGTGTGGCACATTACAAAATGCTGTAAGGTATAACTTTTAAACAATGTATGTATCTTTTTCAAGTTAATGTGACTTGTGAAATTTGGAGAGAGAATAGTAGTTCTATTTTCATTTTAAAAAGAAAGTACAGCTAATCTCTTTAATGTGTAGAAAATTTCTTGGTCATAGTAAGCTAGTGATGGTGTCATGTTTTGAAGGTAAGTGATTCTTTTACCACAGAATTTTATAGGAGATGAGTAGAAAACATTAGTTTTTGTATAATAGGGAAGTTAAGAAAATTAACTATAAAGTTATAAAGCTATGAAGCCTTCATTTTGGTCAAGTAATTCAATCACAGACTTAACCCGATGACAAACCACTTAAAAGTAATCACTTCAGTTTCTGTATGCTCAGAAAAAATATATATATATACTATTGCTTATCTCACAGGACTCTACTGAATGTTGAGAGCATCACATATTGAATAAGTCTTTCATACTTCATTTTATTTTTTTTTTAATTTTTTTAACGTTTATTTATTTTTGAGACAGAGAGAGACAGAGCATGAACGGGGGAGGGTGAGAGAGAGGGAGACACAGAATCCGAAACAGGCTCCAGGCTCTGAGCTGTCAGCACAGAGCCCGACGCGGGGCTCGAACCCACGGACCGCGAGATCATGACCTGAGCCGAGGTCGGCCGCTTAACCGACTGAGCCACCCAGGCGCCCCGACATACTTCATTTTATAGTGACTGAAAATGATCAAATTTTATTTTTAACAGGCTCACAGACAAGTAACTAGCAAGAATTAATAGTTAACATTTCTTTCAGGTTTTAAATCTACCTGGCATTTAATTGGTAGAGTATGAAATGATTCATTGATTTCCACTGTGTTTATAATGCAGTAAACAACCCCTCTTATAAGAACCTTAACGATACAGCCAAAGTCTGATTATTGGTCTTCTCACATCAGCTTATGGCACTTCACCCACCTCGCTGTAGGAGCAGGCCTTTGCAATAGAGAGAACATCCTGGCAGCAGCTATAACATCTGCCCGAAGAAGCTGACCCATCCCAATGCTTCCCAGGCTATGTATGCTAAGTGCTGAGTACCTTATAATAATCCACCTCCCTTACATCCTGCTCGGAGGGAGGATATTATTTTACTCAAAAACTGGAAGACTAAAACAATGAACTTGTAAGAGGCATTGTTATGAGGGCTACAATTCAAGCTATTATTATCCAACGAGCATCTAAAACAACATACTGTAGTAACTAGCAGAGAATAACATTTTAAGACTAATAAGGACTAAGGTAGTAATTTTACCTGATAGGTTAATGACTAGAAAAACATTCTGAATTTTCAGCATTTTGTAAGCTGACAAAGGTGACATTTATACCAATGACATGTGCAAATATGAGGTATAATGATTACATTTAGTCACAGAAATACTATTTTAGAATGAATGGGACTTGGCTTACATGTACAATGTGGATATCATTTTCCATATAATTCAGAAAGAGTGCTGAAAAGTCACAGAAGTCACTTGAGAAGGAATCCATCCCTCAGTGGGTCATCATTTTCCACTATAAAACTTGCTGTACCTGTATAATGGGCTTGCCCAGATACTTCCACTATAACAGCTTTGAAATCCCCACATTTTGCTTCCTGAGAAAAGATGAAAGGGGTATAATATCAAAATACTGCACTTCTGTTGTGTCTGGCCTAAAAGTCACATTCCTGACTTTTATCATTTTAAAGAAAACCCAGGGTTCATCTTGTAGGTCATAGAAGGTTTTTAAGGAGAGAGACGTGATCAGCTTTGTGTTTTAGAGACGTTAACCTGTAAAATGGAAACAAATCAGAGAGGAAAGCAATTGGAAACCTAGAAACCTCTTCAGAGTAACCTTCTTTCATTGATGGACTCTAGAGTCACTAGGGTAGTTTTTAGGGAGGCTGGAGAAGAACATAACAGATACTTTGCAGGTGTAACTGGCGGGCATGAGGACTCACAAATGGGAGGTGAGGAGTATACATGAGTTAAACATGAGTGTAGTTCCTACTTGGAAGTGAAGCAGATACTCCCATTAACCAAGACAGAATGAGACAGGAAGAGCACATTTAGGAAGGAAGGAAGAACTTTTTGACAAGATGACATATCTCTGGGACTGTCATTTCCCTATGAGTTTGGTGGACAGTTGGGAATATGAGTGTTAGACTCAGGAGAGAGGCCGGCACACGGTGGTGGGCATGGGAGGGATGAAGGTTCAGGAATGATCATCAGTGGAGTGGTTGGGAGTTGAGGCCTCCAAAGTGGGTAAAATTACCCAGTGGCATCAAAATGCAGATGAGATGAAAAGGAAACTAAGGATGAAATGCTGGGGAGCAGAGGAAGCTGAGGCAGGGAAAGAGACTGAGAAGGCACCATCCTAAGAGCTTGGAAGAGCCCAGACAGAGAGGGAAGGCATGTGGTGTGAGTGAAGATATCCTGCCAAGTATGATTACTAACTATAAAGAAAGAACTCCAAATGTTAACTACCGAGTATCTTTATTATTTCTTAATTTTTAAACATGAGAATAACTAACTCTTATGATAAGATGTCAATCATTAGATTAGGACACAGTAGTTTCATTATCTTTTTATAAAGCTGCTATAATAAAAGCCTCATTAAAAATTTGCTTTGTCCAATAGCAATACAGTAGTGCTTAACAGGGCACGGTCTACACAGAGAGGTCCACATTCAGAGTCTGGCTCTGATAATCCGTTAACTGTTTGACCTCTGGCAAATTACCTAACCTCTCGAATCCTCCATTTTATCATCTGTTCAAAAAGGATAATAACAGTACTGACTTGCCAAGATTCTCACGAGGATTAAATGAGATGGTACGTATAAACTGCTTAGCGTGGAAATTAACATATAGTGAAATTAGCTATAGACTTGAAGACAATGTGCATGTCTGCTTTTGCATTCAGTCAGCTGGGATGTCACCCATCATATGGCCTCTGGAGAGCTCCACTATACACCCGTGGGGCAATGAAAGTGAAAAGCAAATAATGCCTTTGTATTAGTGCATGCTAAGTTTTGACCTTGTGGACCCTTAGGAAGGAACTTGGGGGCCCCTAGGGATTCCAAACCACACTTTGAGAACCAATATCCTAGCTGAACAGAAGTTTTTATAGGCCTGATTTAAAAAAAAATTTTGTTTTAAATGTGTGTTTATTTTTGAGACAGAGCACGAGCAGGGGAGGGGCAGAGAGAGGGAGACAGAGGATCTAAACAGGTTCTCCACGCTGACAGCAGAGACCCCAATATGGGGCTTGAAGTCATGAACTGCGAGACCATGACCTGAGCCGAAGGTGGACACTTAACCGACTGAGCCACCCAGGTGCCCCTAAAATTTTTTTCTGAGAGCTGAATGAAGAACCTTCCCTAACAGGGAACTCAGGCCTCTTCAGTTTCAAAAGTCACACACTTACAATTAAGAAGCTAAGGGTGTTACTTACCCTGACAGCCTTCCCTGTGAATACTGAGCCGGTTGCACTACTTTTAAAGGCTCTGGTCTGGTTCAGTTCTAGAAGCCCTTTGTGATACTGTAAGGCAATTCGAGCTGTCACTCCTGATCCAGTAGGACTTCTGTCAACCTGTTTCAGAGTAAATGAAGATAAGAGCATTCACAGTGTTCCAGTTCCACACAATCTGGCTTTTGTGGCAAACGTTACAGTTTTAATACCTGTTCATCTGCAAACACACAGATGTTGGTGGTTGGTTCCTCACTGTAAGTGTCTTTTCCATCTGTTAATATAGTTCCATACAGAAAGGAAAGGTCTTCACTCTCAGGATGATTAATTTTAAACTGAAAATAACAACAACAAAAAATTATCATGTAAAATTGTCAAGTAAAATAAATATTTTGATTCAAATTTATCTTAATAAGTAATGTAGAGGGGGCACTCTTAGGCATAACTTTTCAATCTTTGTCATTTTTAAAATACCTCTTGGGTCAGGGCAGTAAATGATGTCTTTGTGTAGATGAATGCAAATAGTTTTATTGGAAGTTACGGTTCTTATCATTCTTTGAGTCCTTTCTAAGGAATTTGTCCTGCAGATAGCCTCTACTAAAGGAACAGTTCTATTTATACACACACACTCCAAATGCTACACTCTTTGAAATACTGACCCCAGGATGGTTAATCCACAGACTGGCCATGTTTGCTCAAACAGGAGAAGCTAAGACAGTCAGTCATATGCTCACTCTCAGGAGTTTGAAGGGGATAATGTAGAAATATCAGACAATAAACAGCTAGAGCTGAAGTTATTACCATGGGCAGAGACAAGGACCTGGAAGAGAGGCCACGAGCAAGCAAACGTTGTAACAATGCAGAAGCTATTAGGTAAGAGAAATGGTTGGATGAGAAAAAAGATCTACTGTAAAGGATGAAGTCAGTTGGTATTATAAGAAGCAGCAGATACACAGAGAAGCAGGCGCCTGAGTGGTAAAGGATGGTCAGGCCCGAACATGCAATGCTTTCTGTTCTTAGGAGGTCTAGTTGAACTTTTCCTTGGTTTCTCTAATGCCTATTAGATTTCAAACCTGTAGCACCATTACATCACACTATTCACAGATATGGTCCCCCCACTAGACCCCCACTCCTTAAAAGTGGGTTTGCTCTTCCTTCGAATCTCTAGCATCTAGCTTAGCATAGTCCGACTCAGTAAGTTCTTGGCAAATGTTTGTTAAAAGAATGGATACACCTTTATAATACAATGAATATTACACCGTGCTTTAACTAACAGGAATTTAAGTAAAAACTTAAAAAAAATAAATGAAGATGAATTTTTATTAACTTCAGCCCCCACCAAAATGGCCTTTCCCTAAATCTGCATCAGCAGCGTGAATGGTCAACAATTCAGAAAGTAGCTCCGATGCCTGATTTAACACTAACAGATGATGCTATGGTTGGTCATCTCATATGTGATTCTCTCCTATTTTTCTTAGAATCCCTCCTCCCTCAAAGGCCACCCCTTGCCACCTTGGAGAGAAGTTAAAGCTTTAATGAGAAGTTCAAAATTACTCCTTTTATTAAGAAAACTATGTCTTGTGGTGCCTGGGTAGCTCAGTTAAGTGTCTGACTCATGATTTTGTCTCAGGTCATGATCTCATGGTTGTGAGATCGAGCCCCGCATCCAGCTCCGCATTCATTCTTAGTGAAAAGAAAATTGATATAAATTCAGAGCTTCAGAAGGTGCTATGATAAAATAATTCTAGATACTAGTATTGACAGTCCTGGAAAAATGACAATTTAGAACAGGAATACAGTATATATTTTCATCTTGTTTAAGTTATAAATTATGTTATTAAAGTCTCAGGTATGTTAAATAGGCCCATAATATTATTAGAATATTAGAGACTTTTTCACAAATTTTTTTTTTCCTTAGAATAGTAATTCTCATATGCTAAAACATTCGAATACTGTATATGAGTTTTACAGGTCCCAATTTTATTTTATTTTATTTTATTTTTTTACAGGTCCCAATTTTAAATGTAAAATGGCAGGCTTATGCTAGAAATGAAAGAATATTCTAGACTTATTTATCATCCAAGCTGATTTTATCAGAATAGTTTTCCCAAGCCAAAACTAGACTGACTTGAGTAGTTATTTAGGTAACTTCTTAGCAATATGGGAGAAATTCACTAATTAGGAATTACTGTTCTCTGTGAAATAAAAGAATGATCAGATTTAATGAAATCTATTTTGTAAGCTATAACTGACATTATTTTTAAGTTTTGCAGAATGACCACGTATAGCAAAGCATATGCATTTCAAGTTAGTGAAATACTATTTGATACATTTCCTATATGTGTAAATAATCACAAATTATACTAGTATGCATATAAAGTTATTTATTGAACATATATTATAGGTAGGTACTATTCTAAGTCCTTTACACGTATCGAACTTACTTCATTCTTATAACACCCGACGAAGCAGGTATTTCATAATTCCCCTTTTACGACAGGAAGGTTATGTTACTCTTTCAAGGTTACAAAAGTCACAAGTGGCAAAACTAGGACTCCTAGATAGTCTTACTAGAGAGCCTAAGATTGTAACCAGTACCTTATTCTTAGTACTTCTAATAACCTAAATATATAAATATTTAATTTTCTGTATAGGGACGTAATTTATACTCCCTCCGTGCCACAGAGGAAGGCATTTGTTATGCAAGCAGTGTTTGTACTGACCTGAGCTTTGACTGCTTCCGTCACTGCACTTGCTGCATCCACAAGGTCCCTTGTCTTTGCAGAACAAACATCAAGTCCTACCTTTTCAGCACTAACAAATGCATAAAACGCCCCGCCATATGCAATGTCTACCACCATCTTTCCACGACCAGGAACATCCACTAAGAGATCTAAAAAAGATGTGTTTGAAAAGAAGTTTGTTTTTTAGTATTTTGGCAGGAACAGTTCACAGCATTTTTAATATGTGTGTTTTGGTGGAGGGGTGCTTTTTCCTATCATAAAAAGGAATGAAACAAAAATTTATTTTCAAAATAAGCATCAGATAAATATTAGATTTTTAGCTAAGTGCATCTATTTGTTCTATGTCTTTTATTTATTTATTTATTTATTTATTTATTTATTTAT